TGAAAGGTAAGACACCGAAAAAAAATTAAAATCTTCGAGACACAAACACCTAAATGGACAGTATCTAAAAAGACTGGAAAAGGTACATATCAATAAAATCAATTACTTATATGACTAAAAGGGGAAGAATGAAGTCAGGATCGGAAGCAGCTCTAATAACTGCCCAAGATTAGGCGTTGAGAACACGATGATAAAACGGTTCTCAAAATTTCCCGAGATGATAAATGCCGCATTTGCCAGTAACAAGTAGAAACCATTGATCACATTGTCTCATCTTGTCCCATTCAATCAAAGACCGAATACTTGAAAAAGACACGACTGGTGTCTCCACTGGCAAATCTGTACCGCCCTCGAAATTCCAAACACGTGTTCCCAGTGGGACGGATACTCACCAAACCCAGTGACGTTTCTTGGACTGTGTACAATATTACAAAACCAGCACTGACAATGATTGCACGATCGTGACAAACAAACCGGATATTATTACCCAGGATTTGAAGAACAAATATTGTCTAATTGCAGATGAGGCTATGCCGTACGAACAAAACGTCGTAACCATGGAGGCAGAGAAACATCTTAAATTCAAGAGTTTGGAAGTGGAGATCAGCCTAATGTTAGGCGTAAAAGCACAGGTCGTCCCAATAGTTATCAGACCTGTGAGATTTGTTCCGCTAACTTTGTGTAAGAACTTAGCTAAACCTTCAAGTCTTTCAAAAGACCCGCGTCAATTTCATCCGTTAGATTCTGAAGCAGCGTGACTACCTGACATTCGCATGAGTAACCACTTCTCAACCCGTAGTTGGCCATAATAGAGACACTTTTTATTTACTAGATAAGTACGTATTAAGGCAAGAGTAAAAATGTTTGCAACCTTATAAACATTTCTATTTCTTAATTTTATCGTTTAGGGTACATAGAACATCATGCATTACAAAATATCGTACATAAATAGTTTGAAAAGCAATGATTCAGGAAATCTTTGACAATTGTGATACGAGATAGGGCAGTTTTCATTATCAAGTTGATTCAACAAAAATCTTGCAAAATAGTGGTAATGATTAGTATTCAGAATGTAGAAACAACTAAACCACACAATTATGTAAAATGTTAAGATCTTTCTAATTATTTTGAGAGCTCTAGTAGTAATTAAAATGTTTTATTTAAATGCTATCTGTATCACAGTTTTATAGCACACATTCATTTCAGGATTAAATCTCATAAAAAATCTCTCCAGCTATTGTTACCCAAAGATCAAATGTTCTTTGTCTGCGTAATCACGAAGCAAACCTTTTTGCACAAAGATACTCGCCGTTAAGTCGAATGAAATGTCAGCTCGACTTTGGCCTAACGTCTTAGCGACATACTTGTTGAGAACTATCGGAATGGAATGGCCGTGCTTTGAACTGTCACCTTCGAACGCAGGTTGACCTACAATGGATCTGTGAGCTTTGACAAACGTCCTAATCTGCTACTGGGCGTCGACTTGCTCTTTGTTCCCGAAAACACAAAGATATTACTCAACTGGGTATGTTGCCGAGACCGAACGGCACAATTGCGCCAGTGAGACAGCACGAAGTCGATATGGAGATCCCGAAGGCAGTTCGAGGCCCCGCTGAGCCGCCGCTGCCACCGACCGCTTCGCTGAAAACGCCTACGACTTGCATTAGGTCAACACGTTGCGTGTTTCCCGATGTAACGTGTAAAAGTTGAACAAGAAAACATTTCGATTGCGACACTCTTTCATGCAAGTACTTTATCACAAAATGAACGATTACCTTTTATAAGAATTGCGTTCTTTCAACGACCTTTCAATTTATCAGCTACTAGCTCGTTTATTAAATAAGTAAAAGAAGTCGTGAACCTCACTTTTAGTGTATTGATTGATTGATTGATTGATTAGTGATTTTGGGTGGGCCAACAGTTAAAGTCGTTAGTCCCGTAAGTGTAGTGCATTTTTTATCGCGGGCGGTGGCGGTGATTTTCCCTCAATGGTTGGCGAGATCCGGCGCCGATCGTTGTGGATTTGCGGAGATTTTGTGAGCAAAGTGTTGGGAGCGAGAGTCGAATTGAAGGGTGGATGGTCAAACACCCCTTTACGGAGCTGCTGCAGACGTTTTGACGGAAGTGCTACAGAAGATCTGGAATATAAGCCGTGTACACATTTTGGTCCGGAAACTCATTTTTCTCTAAACTGGGTATTCTGGATTACGCTGCTTTTTAATCAAACTTAGGGTTACCATACGTCCTCTTTTCCCCAGACATGTCCTCTTTTTTGAGTAAGAAAAACCGTCCGGGTGAATTTTACAAGGACGAAATGTCCTCTTTTTTTTACTGGAAGAGTTGTTTTTTCAACTTCGTCGTGTGTTATTCAAAGGATACTGCGCTTTCTTCAACTTGTTCGTGTCTCCGACATCATAATATTTGATAAATACTAACATTAACTTCAACTATTGCGCCTATAGAACGCCGATATTCATAGGTCTAATGTACCCCTTGAAATGACCTTTACTGCATGAAATGTGACGGTGCTGCCATTAGCTAGTACAACATATACAGGTGCTGGGAATAGATTTTGTGCTGTCGTCTCTATCTTGTTCTGCTTGTCTGTGGAGTTAACATCTGTGGTGCTTATATTTCTAGCATGATGCCGAAAAGCGTTGAATACTTACCATAAGGTCAAAGCATTTGTTACAAGGATCAAAGCAAAGCTAAGTTCTAATTGTTGAGGGGGATTTCATCATCCACCAAATAGTTATGGTAAAAAAGTGAAAAAGATCGTAATGATAATCAAATAGGCCTATTGTGTGATTGTGAAAGTAATAACAGTGATTATAAATTATTTATTTTGTCAGTAGTAGGTATTTTATCTTAGAGAAAAATAAATTATTGCATTAAAACATTTTGTACGAAGTGTCCTCTTTTTTATAAGAAATGTCTTTTTTTCATAACAGAAATATGGTAACCCTAATCGAACTCCTGAACTATAGTTATATACAATGAAGCTCGACAATAATTATATATTGAGTGCCTCCCTGAGGCCGCTTTTTGCAATTCATGACGATGAGTTTCACATTCTTCTACAAGAAGTTCTCCGAGTTTTATAACTGAGTGACTGAATAGTTGGACAACCGAGAAGCGCATTAATTTCGGCAGCCGCTCCTTCGGGCCGCGGCCTGCGCTAGAGCGGCGCGTGGGCACCGGGAACCGCCCACTGCCGCAGCTCCCAAATCGCTTCCTGAACGCGCTCCAAAAGGCGACGCGGCCGCCGCCGCCGCCGCCACCAATTAGAATATCTTCCCTCCGATATGGTCACTCCTGCGGGTCAACTCGGCCTTACGTAACCTCGAACACGCCAAACAGCAGAGCGGGATACCTGCCGTAACAATGACGCAATTCCACCAAATAAAAGCGAGCATCTGGAAAGTAAACAAGGCTTGGATTTTTAATCGGTTTAAAGATATGGATTTGATATTCTTCTGACACTTTATAACGTGAAATAAAATATAGAGAGGAATGTTGCAATAACACGATCGAATTTGGGCTTCCGCATTAACCCGCGTCAGAAGAATCAAACACAGGGCGAAACCGAACCGGCTCTCTACATGCGTCATTCTCTTAAACGTCCTTCACCCTATCCAAATTTAATAAAAAACCGTGGAGTCATTTTTTTGAAACTTTTGAAAATATCCCAGAGGCTTTATGTAAAGTACCCCGAAATTCAAATATCGGTTTCAAATTCAAAAGACCGGGACATCAGTCAGATCGATAGGATAATATCAAATTTGTAGAAAATCGACTGAACGGTTTAACCGCTAGCGTTTCCACAGACGGACGGACGGTCGGACGGACGGACAGACGGACGGAATATATATATATATATATATATATATATATATATATATATATATATATATATTATGAATTAATCCAAAAATGATTGACCGTTTCTGAAAAAATAGGTAATTCAAATAAATATGGTCATATTTAACTGAAACCAATTTCTATATTTCCAAGTACATTTGTTCATCCCTAATACAGAATATTGTTTGTTGCTCTCATGTTCCTGCTTCTCAGCCTTCTTTTGTCTCCTGTTGTTTGGAGCATTCTTTTGAATTTCTTTTCTTAATCTGCCTCTTTCGGCGGCTTACTTTCCTTGCTCCACGACAGTTTGAGTTATGTCCCAACTTTCTAAGCCACTTTTCAACGGTGTTGATTCTTGTGTCATTGATGTTTTCTACATAAATTTGATTAATAGTAGCTTTTTAAATCATTGATTTTTATAAAATCAGCATAATTGTTGGTTAATAACGTAACTCGTGGCGGAGGAAGTGAATTTCAGTATACTGCACATTTCAGCTACTGTCCTTATTGTAAAGGTTGTGTGTATATCTTACTCATTGTTGGAAAAGTCTAAAGACAAATACATTTTATTAATTCGAAATGTGATTTGTGCACATGTAGTCCTTTTGTAGGCACAAACGTGAGCAAATTAAGTAATAGAGATTTGTGACAGTAACTTTAAAATAAATTAAAGTACAACAAAGTAAATTGAGTCATTTCCAGTAAAATCGTCCAGGCATAAAACATCATTATTTTTAGCGACTTGAAACTTGTTAATGAGTTGTAGTGTTTAAAGTAGGTGGAACGTCTTTTTTTATATTTTCCTCTAATCTCATTTCTTTCAGAAATGTTACCAATTAGTTTCCGGAAAAAATCTACGCGCGGAAAATTCTACGAGCTTTCACAACAATTCCATCGTCTTTCTGCTTCAGAAACAAGATCTCGAATTTAGAGAACTTCTGAAAGATACAATATTGAACAACGGCTAATACCTGTCACCAAAAAGGGGTTAAATTGAATAGAATTTTGAAGAGATTGAGAGCACAGTTCGTTCATGCGTCTCTAAGAAAACATCAAGTTTTCAATTCGGACCAGCAGTGTCGAAATGATCGTGAAGTGGAACATGAACGCCATACGCCCCGACCGCCGTCCACCGTCAAATGAAGGCAACGTCCAGGCGGTGCGAGCCTGTTGAAGGCGACCGCTGCAGTGCTGCTGCACGGATCAGAAGGGGGGGTAGTGTTCATACCAGTGTATTGGATGGTGACTACCGGCGCCTGCCAATGGATAGATCAGATGGCGGCTGCCGATTCACGATGTCATCCTGCGTGACAACACGCGGCCGCATACAGGGGTCTGACTCGTTGTTACTCGTTGCGACTCGCGAAATTGCACTGGCTACTTCTAGATCACTCACTTTACTGTTCAGACCTGTTTTCTTGTGTCTTCCATATTTTTCGTCCACTAAAGAAGGCATTAGGTGAAGAAAGATTTGATGACGACACGCTGAGTTCAAACAGTGCGCAATTTGCTATTGCGGCAGCCGTCTTCTTTTTTCCACGAAGAAATCAAAAAGTTTTCTATGAGATGGAGAAATTATGTTTTTTTTTTGGAGGAAATAATGGTAAAAAATATAATTGCTGTGTTAATAACTATTAACGATGTTACAAAATCCCGGTTCATATTGAGTGACCTTAGTACCATGATACTGCCCGGTAAGAAAACAATGTTTAGACTATTACAATTAGGTGGTAATAGAAAACTCCCGCTCGCCGAGGGCCTTCGCGAGTGCTCCTTGGCTAAGGAGTTATGCGTCATGTCACACTCGTCTCCTTGTGCGATGAACTTGACCGTCATCCGCAAGGGGGCGTTAGCGCATGCACTTCTGCGGCAGAAGGCGACGCGCGCTCCATCTGCCGGCCACCTTTGGAACGTTCAGCACTTGCGACCCTCACAAAACTTTCTACATTGACAAGAAGCAAATAGCTATTTTGAATGACTAACTGTACGTTTCCTTTCGTAAATAATCGCAATATGTTCTCAAATATATCGTATATTTTTTTATAAATAATTTTTAAGAAATTAATGTAAATACTGACAATATGATGGATTTAAGTGTAGTATTTATACACACAATATTTGAAATATATAATTTTTTCCATGGATTTTAAATGGGAAAATGAATCTATGGGAACCATCTCTTTCTCCATCCCTCTATGGTTCAAGTTAAAATATCGTTTTGAAAATCTTTCACAAATTAATAATCAGTTCAAATAAAGTTAATTTTCACAAAGGCGCTTAAAGCACACTCATAGTTATATTTATTTCAAACGGTATTATGAAAATATTTAAATTAATTTGTTATGTTTGCAGTTAAGAGACTATATTCACACAAACATTGCTCACCTTATTTTTGTTTTTGGCAATATGTTATTTCTCGTGCACGATTACGTATTTTCAAATACACGAAATAATTGAGACTCTCATATCCCAACCGACGTTCGTTTCGAGAAAAATGACCTTTTCTGTTATCGTCCGGAAAATTTTCTGACGATGGAATTTGAGGGTTTTGCCATATCCCAATTCATTTGATATTAAGCATATGATAGATGTATGGCAGGAGCGTTCTCCATCATATTTCTAACGGAAAATATGAGGTCGGTTGGGATCTGTCATTAATATCCTGATCATCTCTCTTTAAATTGTGAGTGAAAGGAAATAACCTACGTAACCCGAAATCCAGAATTATTAGTTAAATGTGCTTCTTTACCTGTGTTAGTTGAAGCAATTATAAGAGTGTTATGTGCGCTGCTTGCAAACAGGGAACTTGTGACTAAAATGAAAGAGAGTGCGGGAGGGAAGCTTCTCAGGTCACTAACATTCCGTGCTTCTGGTACAGGTGGCGGCCCTGCTGCTGGCCACGAGCTGCTACGCTGACACCGGCAGCACTGAGTCGACGAGCGCCGCCGCAGACCAGGGCGCCGCAGCGGCAGCGGGGGCAACTGGCGACGGCAGCCGCTTCGGCAACGCCCGACCCCGCCCCGCCCGCGCCACCCCCGCCGACGACACCTCCCCCGCCCCCCGGCCCGCCCCCCACCCCCGCGCCGGCGCCCCTGCCCTCGGCGCGCACCCTGGAGCGCGCGCGGCGCCCCGCGCCGCCGCTCCCCGCCTCCGCGCCCGACGCCCCCGCCAGCACCAACGTGCTGCGCTCCATCGGCGCCCCGCCTCCCGCCGCCCGCGCCCCGCGCCCCGCAAGAGCGGTCGCAGCGTCGGCGGCTGGAACATGCCCCAACACGCAGTACCACATCCAGACGACGAAGGCCCGGAAAGGTAGAATGGACTAAACGCTAGGACCAACGTATCTAAAACTAGATTTATTCTCTAAGTCATAGCAGTAAGATACTACTACATGTAATCATGCAAATCGCATATGTGTAATCTGTCGTTCTGATAGATCATAAATTTAAGTTAAATTAAAATTACTATTCTGTTCTTTACGATTGATTTTTAACAACGCAATGTTTGCTATCGCAGGTTTAATAAATTCAAAAACAATTTCTTTAGAAATTGACTGAATTTGAATCTAACCGCTGCAATAGCAATGGAGAAGTGATTGCAATGACTCCATTAATTATTATTAAAAAAAATATTTTTTTTATGTTTGTTACAACAGCTTCTGTTATTATATTTGTCCAGTATGGAAACACATGTTAGACAAACACTATAAGCAATTGAATACAATAAACTTGTTGATGAAATACACGTAGTCACATATAAATTAGTACGCTGAAATCTTGAATGAATGTAAGCGAGGCGTTTGCTTCTTGGCAGGTACTTCAAGTACCAGACCAATCAGCGGGCAGTACCGCAAGGAGAAGCGCCTGCAGGACGCACCGTGGTGGGCACCTACGCTGGGTGGACCCCAACGCGCTACCTGCGCCTGCGGACTACGTGGCGGACAACACGGGCTACCGCGTGCTCAAGACAAGATGGTGTTCGTGGCAAGGACGAGTCCGTGGGCAACGCCGTCTCCAAGGCCAAATACGTGCCCAGCCAGGGCGGCTCAGCCTACGTCCGCCGCACCAGCACGGCGCCCGCCACCACCCCCGCCCTACACCACCCAGCCCTACTCGCCCTTCAGCAACCCCCTGCTGTACCGAGCCTCGCCACGCCGCCCTCCAACTCGCTGGCCGGCAGCGCAGGCGCAGGCTCCAACTACAACTACAACTACAAACAGCGGCCCGTACTCCCGTACGACGGGCGGCGCTACGACAACGGCAACTTCGGCCAGCGCATCCAGCAGGCGCAGCCGCAGGCGCCTTCCCGCAGTACGACGGCTTTCCGCCACGCACAACGGCTTCGCTACTACCTGCCGCGCCACACCACGAGGAGGAGACGCTGCCGGGCCAGCAAACGGCCGGCAGCTTCGGCTACATCGACCCCTTCGGCATCCGGCGCGTCATTACTACAACGCTTCGCCCGGCGGCGGCTTCGTGCACAGGAGAAACAACCGCTACGTGGGCTTCAACGCCACGCCCTACGACCCGCGCTTCTTTGGCAGCGCCAGCACCCCCCCCCGCCCCCGCCCCCGCCCCGCCCCGCCGCGAGCGTCGCCAAACTCTCAGGGTGCGACGTGGTCGCCCACGTGCCAGTTGCTTTCTCGCTCGTCGGCAAACTAAACGCAAGCCCGTCGCTGGGCCCCATCACTGCGATGCCTTACGCCAGCTCAAATTTCCAAACGGGTGCCTGAAAATCAAAGAGGATACCACAAAGTCTGTTTAAACGGTCAATAAGTACGTATTATGTACATACGATCCAAAGGCATTCATTCTAAAATCTCGTACCTAAATGTCCATTCCTCGCAAACATTCATTGGCTCATTAGTTTCCTCGTTATATTTACGCTCTCTACGATTTGTGATCAATTTACTTTCAAATCACGGGGTGCCAAAGAGTAATTTTTATAAAATATTGTATCACGGTGTAGTGTAAGTGTGTCATCTTAATATAGCTGCGCTGTTATTTTAATACAAAATTATGTGTGGTAGGTTAATTTAATACGCATTATAGTGAGTTTCAAGTAGTAAAATCACAGAAAAGTACTCTTGTGTCATTAGATGGACAAATAGTTTCTCGCTTGGCAACTTAATTTGAAAAGAAATTTATTTATTTTAGAAATCCTTCTACTTGCATTCTGAGAGGATTTTTTATACATATTTGCCTCCAGCACACAAACTTCTTTGTGATGTAAATGTTCGTTTTAAAAAATGCAAATGAGAAATCCTTAAAGGTCATGTCTTTACAATGATTTGATGTAGACTATGCAATGATCTGACATGTTTACCTTAAGTTAAGGCACATTGACGAAAATGTGGAAAATGTAATTTTCAAAAATTTTTTCATTCGACATAAAAACAGTGACTGAAATTTCAAGTCATATCGGTCTGACAGAATAGAAGCGCACGAACCACTTATGAATTCGTAAACAACTTCATGCACGAGAGTAGGAGAATCATAGGAAATTCCAACTCATCGTACGTGGATGAGATATATTTTAATATAATTTCCTATATGTGTTGTATGAGCAAACGGCGTTAAGTATTGGATAATGTATTCATTACATTTAACGTTAAAGAAAAAAGCCTCATTGTTCCACCAGCCAGCGGCAGAGGCACCGCTGACCTCAGAAGGATCACAGGAAGTGAGCTCGTGTTTCATAAATTGGAGGAGCGGCCTCACTCGCCCAGAGCACTCGTCGCAAGCAGCGACCGACGGAGGGGCGGGCGCCGGCGCGAGCGCCTCGAGGGCAGGAAAAGTGCTCAGTGGAGCCATTCGCTTCTGCATCTGGGGTAATAGCAATTAATGCAGGACCCTCTGAGGAGGCGTCAGACCCTTCAGTAGTTGGCAAAACTCGGTTGTTATGAAGCATCAACTGCTTAACGAAAAGAAGAACGCCTAGGGAATAAATAAATAATTATTTATAAAATAGTTTGAAACAAATCGTATGAAGAGGTCTATTACATTTTATTTTGAATCTTTCTCTTAATTAATCTGTTAGTTTTTGATTATGAATGTAGATAGTCCTTTAGATAGTCTAGAATTCATGTTTATTTTAAAATGTTATCGAAAATGACATCTCATAGAATTTCAGACATTTTTCTTTCTTCAGATTTGTGGTTTATAAAGAAAATTCTTTTACCAGGTAATTGTACAAACTTAATTACAAAAATTGGATCAATGAACTAATCAATTCATAATAATTTATGGTTTAATATTTTTAATTCAAATGGAAACAACATCAATGAGATAACATTGACGTAATTTATACTAGCCTAGAATTTTAACAGTATGCATCCAAATAGACATTAGTAATACATATTCGTAATTTCACGAATTAAAATTCCTATTTCTTTGAATGAACTGTGTTCCTGGAGTATGAGAAAATTTCCACTCGCACGTGTCAGCTCAATCTCACTTTAAAAGCTGACTTTCTCGCTCAACTGGAAACCAGTTGTCACGAACATTTCCAGAGACTTAAATCTGCTCCGTTAATTGCATAATAAACACCACCATTAGAATAATATCTTTCAAGGACACGCAAAAAAATTTAGATTGTTGGCCAACGTTTTTTTTTTTTCAATTCTCATATATTTGGTACATTTTTGAATTCCATTTCTCAAATTGTTCCTGGTGTAGAATCGTAATATTTTACTCCAAGTACATTAAAAAATAACCACAAAGCTGATTCTTGAGCAGCATGTGTGTAACGTTGTTAATCCTCATAACGATACCTCTCAAAACGTTGTTAAGTCTCCGCGGGGCCTCTCTTGACATGATGATGAGCGCGAAATAATCGTGTGTTCGGTGTTTGTGCGGCGCGTTGGTGCGTCCCCGGCTGCCGTTTCGAAAGGAATTCCTCTGGGCTGTGGCAATCGCGCGGCTTGAGCAGGGAACTGCTGCCCGCCCACGTCGCGCGGCTCCCAATTCTCGGCTGTTGCAGCCACGTTCTCCTTTGCTTTCATCACGTGCCTTTTTACATTTTAAATCAACTAAGGTTTTGTTTCTTTTATTATGATATCATTTCATATTTCCCATTCCTTCTCTTTTCACTTCACGTTTATAAGACTTTGAAACTGAGTAGTTTATTACTTTGACACTCCTTCGTATATTTTTTTCGTTGAATTTTTACGTGAACCAGATCATTGTCAATCGTGGCCACAATAGAGGAAGTTCGATGCTATTAGGAAAGGGAAAATCTCTTCCTTACAAAAGGGAAATTTCATTCTATTAATTTTCAACATGTTAATCAACCCATTTTTAGATTTCACCGTTATTTTGATGTGCGAACATATAGTTATTGAACATTTTAAGCACCCTTATTTGTCCATAATTAAATATCCAAAAGTACTTTATACTAGTGTGAATGTCAAAAATATGTACTTCAGTGAAAGTCAAAATTGTTTCACTTTCCGAGACAAAATATTATGGCACATTTTCACTACTTGACTGAATTGCTTTCTCGTCCGTACGCGAAATGTGAAATCATTCAGTTAAATCATTTATATTGCTTTTATGTCTTTTATTAGCATGACAGATTATCAACATATTTTCCATCAGTGCCCTTTAGATGGGAATTTTCACAAAACGGAAATGTAGTTTAATGTTTTCTGCTAAGCTAGCATACATATGAAGAATAGTATTGTACAATTTACCCTCCAAACTTTAAAACTACTAATGTCTAGTGTCTAGTATAATATGAAAATCCTAAACATTTTTTAGTAGTTGACTCTTCGGAAAGCATTGCCCAGGATTTCGACTCTCATTTGCCATTAATTTAATGTGAAGATTGGTTCTTTGCGATGTGCTTCAGGAGTTCAGTGGTAATCGTGTGGTTCCTGTGCCATGCTGATCTCGGAAATCATTACCCATTCGATAGTCATCTGACTGTAATAAATACAGACATGCGATTTTCTTCCGATTCAAAAGCTCTGTACCTGTTACATCTGATTTTTAGCTTTCAATATTTCTAATCTAGAATGGGTTTTGGTTTCGAAATCAATTGGAGTATGTGGAATTTATTTATAATTAAAACAAATGTATGTAAATAGAAAATAAAATAATATAAAATATTTACCCAATAGTTCGCTTTTCCTTGTTTGCTGTTGATACCTATAAAGCCTTTCAGTCCTCAATCCTTGATATTTAAACTGTTTAGCGAGTTAAAGGGAATTCATACGGTTAAGAAAAAAATGTTATGAAATCCCTAGAAATTTAAAATTTTTAGGAACCACTTTAACTAAATTTGTTATGAAAATTCTGGGACAAAATTGATTAAAAAAGTCACTATGGCGTTTGAAAAGTTTTATTTCGATTAAAATAATAGGACTCTGATAAACGTTACACATTCGCATGTCCTTCAACAGATTTTGAATCCTGGCAGCATTGGTCATGAGCATCTTTTGCTTTAAATAATATTTTTTGTATTACAGCATTATAAAAGAACCTTTTCTGTTGCAAGAAATCGTTCATAATCGGATATTTTACGGCACAAATGATGACGTAATATGTTTTATGACACGAATTATAGCGTCATCACACATTCAGCAAATAGTAGCGAGAGAATCGGGGGGAGGTAGAGCTAAACGGAACAGCCGACCACCGTTTACTCGCCTGATGTCAAATACCCGAGTCGTTACAGGGAAGTTGTTTCGCAAAATTAAGTTTGATTCTCTTATAAATGTACTAGTTATATACGTTCCACATAATATAGTCCATATAATACATATAGTGTGATAAGCCAGAAAACCCCACTGTATGTTGTTTAGTAAAATCGGCATCAAGCGTTGCAGTTCCAATTGGATTGTATGCACACAAAACATTCAAAGCCAAAGAATGCGTCTTGTTAAGACAACCAATCAACAATCATAGGATTCCATGCTTGATGTCGAAGTGCTGTTCTTTTGCGAATAATGTTCCCCGGTGCAGAAAACTAAAAGTGGCGTTGAAAGTCTGTTTTCTGTACGAATGTCGAAATGACCACTCTCTCGAAAGCTACTGAACACACGTAAGCACTAAGTGCGATGAGAATCATTTTTCAGCATGGACTTGGGTATTAGTTAAATGACAGTGAGGCGCGTAACTTATAATTAGTTTTGTTAACTTGGCATTATGCTGAGTAAGAAGTCGAAGGTGGTATTCGCATTGAATTTTAATTGTAGTTTTTATTATTGTAATTTGGGATTTGGATTTAAATAGACTACGTGTATTGAAGAGATTTATATCAGGAGAGCTCCATAGATGGGGAAGAATTTTTAATAACTCGGCTGATGATTGTCGCGCGAATGTGTTTCATCCAAATCAGAAGTCACGTCCCCGAATTAATTTAACAGACATTACTGAATCCTATAAAGTATCAAATAGTCGAGGTTATTCTAGGCTATAGGGGGTAATATGGGTATCGAGGACATCTGAGAAGATTATTATTTTTCTGTTTTTGTTTTTTTTTTGTCATATTAGTCAGACTGAACTTTGGTCTTTAATTTAAAGACAGAATATTAACATAAAATCACAGCTTCATATCAATATATAAATTACATGTGATATATAACAGCAACGTTTCGCAAATTAATTATTTCTTTCGCCAGGCTTAATGGCAAAAACAAATAATTAATGTAATATTTTAAACAATTTACAGATGGCCAATGCCAGAAATTGGGACTAGCACCATATTTCTTATCGTTCCTTATTACAA